GTTCCGTTTTTGGGGTGGGCTCTGAATTAATACGCGTGGGAAAACCAACAATGGTGCCGCGAGGGAAAACTTGATAATACTTAGCTGGCACTGCTTTTTGGCTTTTCCATAAGCTTCAAGCCAAGAACTTTTCCGATGCGGCACGTAGCGTTCATAATTATGTGGATTTTGGAAATTAAGTAAGCAACTGCTAGACAACTTTTGGTATGAAGCCACTGTGATAGCGATTAACGCTCACACAGATTTATGCGCAACTTGAGTAACAACAGGTGCGGGCAACGTGTCTTCAAGTCTCGAGCTTCCCCAACCCCAATTTGCTTATTCCCATCCTTCAAGCTGGCTCTAGGCTCTGCGCAGTGCAAGGTGCAATTTAAATTCAAAATTTGTTAAACTGTCACAAGCGCTGTGAATGCGAAATGAGCACAAGGCTCGCAACATGCAAAGCATAATTATATGAGGACGCGGATGAGTAGGAGAGGGAGGTGCTGAAGCTGGCTGGGTGGTTGACATGCTGGAGTTGCCTGCAGGTGGGGCAGGCCAAGGAAATTGCTTCAAACCGGCTTGTCGGAGCTAAACAAACAAGCGGCGTTGAATTACGATGCCGCACGCACGTGGTTGCCACAGCTTGCTGGTGGGCCAGGTGGGGTAGTTAGAGGTGTGCTTGTATCTGTGTGTGTCCATGTGTGAGTTTAGGTCTAAGTGGAGTGTGCTGCTGCCACCCACATGAGTAATAGTAATGTTGTTGCCTCCACTCAAGATGTGTGCCGCTACCATCAGGCTTATGAATAAATTAAGAAAAGGCTGCCTCGAAATCGGGGCCACTGGGGGAAGAGTGTAAAGTAGGTAGCGGGGACCCAGAAATGCGAAAGCGTCGCGAAAATAAAACAGACTCATATAAAAAAGGCAATTTGAATGCGATTCACGGGGGACATACGAAAGATCGACGTTTGAAATATCCTGTTAGCGATCAAAACTGCTGTAAAATATATAAATGCATTTAGATATATTTAATTATAAACAAAACAGAGTTAGTTTCAAATAAAGCGGTTGGGAGGAATATAGCCAGGGCTACTGTGGTCGTTGGCTGGAGTAATTATGATATTTAGTTTTAAATTTCGCTTATATATTGAAAACTTTAAAACACAGATTTGAATATTTCTTGATTTAATTTTATACAGTTCCAAAGATTCATAGACAGAATCAAGAATCATATTGCAGAATCTAATTTCTTAAATAGAGTTAAATTATAATCGAATTTATGAGGCAATTTTCTAAATTTAAAGCAAGTATAAAGATTGAAAACTATTACAACTACACAATTAAGATGTTTGTTGTTCCGAGCTCTTATTAATTTTTTGTTATGAACGTATTAAGGTTCAATTGTCAAATATATTGGTTAGAATATCATGTTAAAGTAAAATCGAATAGCTCTTGAACCAATTCAAGGTGTATAAATACACTCTTAGATAAGAATTTATACTAAAGCTTTTTGTGTAGCTCTACTTGCTTTAATACACCCTTTAGTAAGCCCTGATTGCAATTTTTACATATAGCTATAGGACGTTGCATGGGGGCAAGAGTAGAGATAAGATAAGTCAGCAACTGAAGATAATGCCGTTTAAATAGAATCTGGTGACGGTTGGAAGCTGCCTCGGGCCGAACAAACTACAGGACATAAAGAAAATGTCAGCACTGCCATGCAGCCGGCAGTTATATGCGTGATAGAGGGAAAGAAGGGAGTATGGGGCTACATGGATGAGCAATTGCTATAGAGAAGGAAGCTCGCACAGGTGATTTACATAGCATATTTAAGTGGAGCACTTTGTGAACTCGCACACGACACGGCACGACACGATGTCATCATTATTATCACTATCATCATCATCATGCCCCATAACAAATGTTGCACAAAATAAAGAAGTAGCAAAAAAGAACTGCCAGACATCGTTCACTTCAAAAGCAGGCAAAAGGAAATAAGCTAGGCAAGGACGTTACAAACATAAAGAACATATTTTGATGTATTACAAGCGAAAGCATAAGGAGTTTGACATTTTTATTATGTTGCCGCTAGCGACACACTCAGAGAGAGAGAGAGAGAGAGAGAGAGGGGGAAATTTACAAAGTGTGTTAACTAAAAAGAGAGAGAAGCCATAAAAAGTGCGTCCAGATTTGGCTTGCAACTTGCCAGTTTCATCAGCTGCTGCATTAGCTTCAGCATTCCCCTAAAAAAAAAATGTGTTCAACAAAAAGAGCAAAATGAATTTGCAACTAGTCGCAACTGGCGGGCATGCTGAGGCTGAGAAGTTTTTGATGCGCACATAATTCAATTATTATTGCCCGCAGACCCAAAGAAAAGTGATTTGGCTAGCCTGGTCGCTGGCTGGCTGGCTGGCTGCTTGACTCTGCGAGTTCTGCCAAACAGAACAGAAGAAATACAATTTATTTTAAATAAATATGATTTATTATGTTTGGCATGCCCTGCTCCACCATGCCCAGCCCTGCCCTCGCTACTTGCCCGCTACACGAAAGGCAATCTGCATGAAGGATTACGGAACATGAACGTCGAGTTTGCACAGCACTCGTCGACGACGATATGGAATAGAAACATGAGATTGGCCCCAAACCCTCCCCCTTCCCGACCCATAAACGATCCACACCCTTATATAAAGCAAATTTGACTTAAGGTGTATTTTGCGTTTTATGATGATGACTTAAGAGGATGGAGAAAAGCTACCAAAAATAATAAAAATGATGTAAAAAAAAACGTATAGCAGGAAGATACGCGCAGCCATCGAAGGGCTTAAATCTGAGGCAAAGGCAAATATCCATCAACAGGTTTGAGTATTGACAAACATGAAAAGCTATATATATGTATATATAACATATAAAATTACTATGTGATTGAAATTTGATGATTTTGATGGATGGGTTTGAGCATTTAGATTGAGTACTTGACTTGTGAGTGCTTTAAGTTCAAAGAGTGTATGGTTTGTGGCTGCAGAAAGGGTATAAAATACTTATGTTAAGTAAATAAAATGTATGCCTGACATTTAAGTTATATTATATTGCATTTGTTTACTTTTAATAATTGAAATGTTCTAACGCATGTTTAACATATGCCAGTAAGAGTTTTATTCGCAAACGAAATTTCACCAATTTAACCTGGGACTTGTGTGAATGTCATAAAAGACCTAATTTACTTAATAATGCCAAAAGTTCTTTGTGGTCCAAAAAAACTGCAATATATTATCCAAATGGACACATGTTTCTTGACTATTCGGACACATAATTCAAACAGCCCTAAATTAGATTGCACAATTGTAATCAACTGACCTGTCTGGAAGTATTTTAGACCAAGAAATTATTCATGTCAGCACAAAATAGCATTGAACAGGACATAAATGTTTCGTCGGCAATAGAGCAACTGCAACAGCAACAACTAAACCGACAGTTGCAACTGCAACTGCAACAAGCAAAAACAAGTAAACATTGCAGTCACAGCAGCAACTAGTTCAACATAAACTTAAAACATCAACTACAACGCACATAAACGCTTAAAAGCATTTCAACTTAGTATTATGGTTGAAATTTAAAAGAACAATTCGATATGCAAAGTAGAACCAACTGCGGGAAAATTCAAAGGAAATTAAAAATGTATAAATAATATACATAAAAATCATAATATTAGTAATAATTTTAATAATAATAATAACAATAATAATAATAATAATAATAATAATAATAATAATAATAATAATAATAATAATATTCATAATACTTATTATTAATGATTATAATATAATTATTTTTTTTTTTGTTTTTATCTTTTGCGTTTCACACAGCCGCCACACTGGTATGTTTGTATCCCCTCATCCAAATCAATTTTTTTTTGAAGTCGGGGTAACATGTGACATGCATCCGGTACTTCACGCTGCTGATAATTTTCATATTATATTATACTATCAATAATATTTAGAATAATAGCAATAATAATAGTTGTGAAGTTGAGATCAGTATAACGCCATATGGGTTTTAAACGCTCCTTCCTAAGCGTGTTCAATGTGAACTCTAAAAGCACATCGCTGACCTTTAAGCCTATACGCATTATACTGGCCATTTAACTTGTAGGATCGGTGCTAGTACAAAGTCCGAAATGCCAAACTAACCACAACTGGCACAACCTTTAAATGTTCAGTTTATGGTTTACGGTAACGGGTGGGTAAATAGTATGTTTATGGACCACAGAATACTGTGGACAGTTGTGCTAGACCTCGGCCCGAGCAAATAAAAACACAAAATACGGGCTTTACCGTAGCATTTTAAGTCGAGCTCTTGGGGCCCTACATCTGGACCAGGCACCCTGTGTGTCATTTCTGTTCCTGTCTGTGAGATTATAAGCAGCACAAGCCGCACAGACATAGCTGCTACTGCTGCTGCTGGTAGTTATATCTGACAATTTTAAAGCCTGGCCCGAAGCGCTGCTCGTGCGTGCCGGACGCATTGAAAACCTTGGCGGCCTTAAGCGGGCGACTACTGGCAGTTGCTCGAAACCCGGCCACCCGGACTTCGACTCCAGTTAAAGTGCACAATTCGGAACAATGTTGCTGGATGTTGTTCTTGTTGTTGTTTTGTTGCTTATCATCAGCATCGTTATATTGTTATGGCCATTGTTGTTGACGTCGTTTGTCGCCGCTCGCTTATCCCCTTCGGCCCCACCCTTCCGCTCTTCCGCCATGGCGCGCGCTTTCCTGTTGTTTGTGTGTTGTCAGCTAATTGAATTTTCAGCATGAAATTTAATTTATCTTTGTTGTTTGTTTGTGCAACAAATGGGCGAAAAAATGCAAATCCAAAAGTGAAAACAAGTTAACAGCATTTGCTGTTTTTTGTTTTTCTTATTTTGTAATTTGGCACAAGCTGGCAAATCGGCTTGCCTTAGTTTGTTTATATGTTTTATCAGACAACATAAATAAACACAACGTTGTTATTTGATTTCGTTTCAGAAAACAAAATGAATTGGACGCTAATGCTGTTAATTATCTGCCTGGCATCGGAGCTAGTGAGCTGTAAGCATTATCTTATATACCCTGTAAAATCTGCTTAACCCTGCAACATTTCTCCAGCTGAAACGAATTTACCGCCGGTGTTTACCCAGACCCTCAACAATATTGTGCTCTATGAGAACGTGCCAGTGGGTACAGTGGTCTTTCGATTAGAGGGATTCGATCCTGAGCAAAGCAATGTTACATTTGGCTCTATTGGCTCTGATCACTTTAGCGTAGATCCAGTTTCTGGCAATATAACGCTGGTCAAGCCATTGGATCGCGAAGAAACGGACAGTTTGACATTTTTGGTATCGATCAGAGATCGCGTGGATCCAAATGGCGAATCAGAGCAAGATAATGTTGTTGAACAGCCCATTACATTCATCATTCTCGATGAGAATGATAATCCGCCAGAGTTCCAGAATGTAAGTGGAAACGCAGCGCAACATTTTTCTGAATGATTCACATTGATTTTAACGTTATTGCCTTAGACCCCTTATGAGGCTGATGTAAACGAAGATGCCGTTGTGGGCACCACGGTTTTTGATAAAATTTTGGTCAAGGATCGCGATACAATTGGTGACAGCCTTGATCTAAAGTGTTTACCCCAGCAGCAAAGCCCTGAGGCATGCAGCAAGTAAGACCAAGTCAAGCATTGTTCAAAACTTCTATTTAAAATCCTATCGATCTTTGCAGATTCCGGTTGCAATTGCTGACAAGAGAGGCGACCATCTTAACAGCTGCAGTGGTGCTTAACGATACCCTCAACTACAACCAGCGTATGATTTACCATTTTCAAATCGAGGCTAGCGATGGAGCGCACAAAACACAGACAACATTTGAGGTACGCGTCAAGGATGTGCAGGATAAGCCGCCAGTCTTCCAAGGCTCGCTATCGACAGTCATTGACGAGGACAGTCCCATTAACACATTGGTGCTCACTGTACACGCTCGTGATGGTGACACAGGAGAACCCCGAAAAATAGTCTACGATTTGCTCAGCAGTAAGTTAATTGATGGCAAAAATTCAATTAATTTAAGTGGTAGGTCCTGACTGATTGACTTGAAAGTAATCAACGCACAGCCAAAGCCGTAAGAGCTACAAATCTGAAATGTACAGAAGCTTCCTTTTCGGAAAATTTTTTCTTCAACTGGAGAATAATGATGGTAAAAGTCTATATGAAAGAGCAATTCTGCTTTTATATAGTTTTTTTTAAATTAGTTGTTCATTAAAACGGTAATAATAAATGAGAAAACATCGAAGTCATTGCTGTATTCGGAGCTTGAAGATTAGGCTTCGAGCCCAGACAGGAGGAAGGCCACAACATTTTTTATAATTAAAATTAGAATTGATATAGTTTTTAAATGTATAAGAGTATTTGTTCTCCTTAAATGATTGAACTTACTTTTCGTCTCTCCCAATGCCTTTAGATCCCAACGATTACTTCCTACTAGACTCTCACAGCGGCGAGCTGCGTACTGCCAAGCCTCTAGATCGTGAGGCTTTAACTGATTCGACGGGTCTTATTCAGCTGATGATACGCGCCCGCGAACTGGTGAATGGTGTGCCCAATGATGATCCGCTGACAAGTGCTACGGCTAGAGCGACTGTGACCATACGCGATGTCAACGATTCGCCTCCCACATTCAATAAAAAGGAATATGAAGTTTCACTGCTCGAAAACACGCCAGAGGGCACTCCACTGGCTCTGGACATGAGCGTCAGCGATGCTGATGTGGGCATCAACTCAAAGTTTGCGCTGCGATTAGAGGACGTGTCGGGTGTGTTTGATGTGGAGCCCAAGCTGGTGACAGGCTATTCACAGGTCAACATACGCGTAGCCAATGGCACATTGGACTACGAGAATCCCAATCAGCGCAAGTTCATAGTCCTGGTGATTGCCGAGGAGACGGACACGGAGCCCAAATTATCCTCTACGGCTACCATAACCGTAAGCGTGCTGGATGCTAATGACAACAAGCCTAACTTCGAGCAGGAAAGCTACTCGGCCGCTGTCTCCGAGGCAGCCCTGCCAGGACAATATATCACAACGATTACTGCCAAAGATGTGGATTCGAGCAGCTTTGGTGATGCCGGCATACGCTACAGCCTCTCCGGCACCGGTGCCGAACTGTTTCATGTCAATGAGCAAACGGGCGTCATTACCCTGGGCGATTGCCAGCAGGAGCGCAACAGGCGCCAGCGACGTGACCTCCATGAGAATGACAGCGATGGTCACGCACTCGAAATGCTCTCCATGGAGGCGGAACACAACGTCGACCAGCGACAGATTAACACAGAACCCACCGTGCAATACACTTTAATCACGCAGGCGCCGTTGCAGTCTGAGCCGGCAGCGGGAGCGGCAACAGCAGCAGCCGAGGCAGCTGCTAATGACGAAAAAACCGCCAGCAGCGAGGCGCCGCCGACGTGTCTGGACTATGAATCGGAGACCACGTACTTCTTGTCATACAAGGTGGGTGTGGGAAAAGGTTGACAAACAACTTTTTTTTATCAGCTTGTAACGGGGCTAGTTAACTATTCTCTGCAGTTGGTAGGCGGCCTTGTTATATAAAAGAATAGAATGATTATAAGTTTAACTATATAAACTGCATATTCATTTTGTTTATAAATTTATTTCATTTAAAAAATAGGTAATTATTATGTCCTCAGTTTATTTTTTTTTTTAGACTAATTATCATAGGGAAATATCCAAAAAAGGGCTAGATTTTCTTTCCAAAAAGACCAATAATCCAAAATTCTAAGATGATTAAATCAATGTCAAAAAAAAGATGCAATGTCTTAAAAGCTTTAAATTATCGATTTAACCTTTAAATTGAAATCATTGAATGTTCATTAAAGCAGACTTTACAGGGAAGTGTACACCAGTAGCTTAGATTCTCGTAAAGCTTATCTACATTTTTAGCTGGTTAGGGTATTTAAATGCCGGCATCAGCATAGATATTGTGATCAATAACTGCAGGACAATCTATTTTTCTTTGATTATTATGCAGGCCACCGATGACAATGGACAAGGTCAGACCTCTGTGGTGTCCCTACGCATTTCAGTGAGCGATGCCAACGATTCGCCGCCCATATGTGAGAGTCCCTTGTACCGTGCCAGTGTGGATGAGGGCGCCTTTGTATTTGATTCCCCATTGGTGATAAAAGCACGCGATGCGGACACAATGTCTAGCATTAGCTACCGGATTATCGGCTCGCCACAGATCGAGAGCATCTTTGACATTGGCAAGCGCAGCGGCCAGATTAGTATACGCCCCAATGCCAGTCTGGATGTGACGAATCTGAAGAGCGAGCAGCTCATCTTTGTGGTGGAGGCCAATGATGGGCTCTTCACGGCCAACTGTGGCGTTAACATCACAGTGCGCGATGTTAACAATCATATGCCTAGTTTTCAGCAGCAGAACTATAGCGCTATCGTCGAGGAGAACTCAGAAATTGGCACCAGCGTTGAGAGGCTGCAGGCCACAGATCTGGATACTGGTAAGAATGCCGAACTACGCTATCGCATACAGCAGGGCAGCTTCAATGACTTTGACATTGATGAGCGCACTGGCGAGGTGTTCGTCTCCCGAAAGCTCGACTACGACAGACGGAACACCTATCACCTGCAGGTGCAAGCTGCCGATCAGGGCACCCCCAGTCTCACGGGCACCGCCACATTGACAATCAATGTGCAAAACAGCAACGATAAAGATCCCTACTTCGTGCCTGCCACGCAGCACGCTGAGGTGCGGGCAGATGCGCAAACTGGCCAACTAGTCTACACACTGATAGCACTTGATCCAGATGTAGCCACGCATAATGCGCTCGAGTTTGCCGCCACCGATGACATTACAGCCATCGACAAGGAGGGTAAGGAGCTGCCCCACAGCGAACAGTTTAAGGAATACTTTGCCATTGCCCGCAATGGCAAAGTTCTCGTCAACCGGCAACTGGATCGCAATCTGTTCGCTGTCATGCGCATTAATGTGCTCGTTACGGACAGTACGGCACCCAATGTGCAGCAGGGACGCGGCCTACTCATCATACAGATCATCGATGTGAATAAAATACCACCGGTAGGTTCAATTCCACTGTCAAATTTACACTCACTCTTTATTACTAACCGATGGGCCGAAAATGTTGATGGGCTATTTCAAATTCTTCGCTACTGTCGCGCTCAAGATTGGCTCCATTCTCAGTGTAGGCCACATTCGTTGTCATCTGATGATGTTTCTCCGAGTAGATATTACTGCGAACAGGGTTAAAAAAGTCAGGGTTGATATTAAAGATACGGTGTTCTGATACTGATTAAGTTTAGCCAGGTATTAGCAGATGTTTTAATTCTATCTAGCAATGTCTTAAACAGTATCTTAACACTTTAGTCGCTGCTTACAGCACCGTTATACAGCAGGTGGCCTTGATGGCCATCTTGGCCAGGAATATCGCAAACACAGCAAACGATTGAGAGTATAGGTACTTTAGACAGCTATATCCCAAAACTATCTCGTAAATGTGCAATACAACACTATCAAGGACCTGCACAATAATTGTTGGCATTAGCAGTTCCGGCTGGGAATTTGTCAAAATTGGATAGCTGCGTTCAGGAGAGGCAAAAAAATAACATTCAGACAGTACATATATAAACAAGAAATTTAAGTTCTTTGTATGCCGAATATCCAACGATTAATTGTAAATCTAACCTTTGCAATACGCCAAGTATTTCATATTTTAGCGATCCGATAGTATGGTAACTACATTATTATGTTCAAGTCCGAGTTCAATATAAATATATTAAAAAAAAAACGTTTAACTGTCGGGAAGATCAAAATATCTGTGTAAGCATGGAAGGTATATGATAAAGTAGTCCGTTATTAAAAATTATTGCCAAAACTATTTAAGTGATGTCAAGCACTTAATTGGGGCCGACCTAACTGATATATTAAGAAGTTCCATCGGTCTGACTTATATTTATATGTACTGCAGCAAAAATTGAAGATATATTGGAACTTCCGACGGCCATGTCTCCCCGACGCGATTAGACGTTCTTATAATGATTAAGCTACAGACTTTTGGAGACTCCAGTTAACAAAATCTCTCAACTTACATAGCAACGATATTTGACGCTAGTCCAAGAAAACACATTAGAAAGCGCATTAGGACCAACCCAGATATGAGGAATATGAAAAGTTCACGTATCCAGACCTCTTGCTTGGCTGAATTGACCAGCACTTTAGTTTCGCGCAAATCCGAATGCAATCGGTGGACATTCAAAGCGGTCGCCTTGTACAATATGGCAATGATGTTTATAAAGAGTATCTTTAGCTTCCCATAGGACATAATTTGCGCCATATTGAGCGTCAGAAAGCAGCCTAATATCCAAATATTTTCTGACTCAATTTTCATAAACGACATGCTCTCGCCCCCACTTTTTCCCATTCAATACAGAGATTCAATGCACCCTGGAGCCAAGAACAGCCGGTGATTAAGCTGCAAATGGTTGAGGAGCAACCAGTTGGTACAGTGCTGACCACTCTGCAGGCTAGCGACGAGGACTCCAGCATTGGCGAGTTCAACATAACGTCCAATGATTACTTTGCCATCAATCAGACTACTGGCGTCATCTACACGACTGCCCGGTTGGACTATGAGGCCGTTAAGGAGGTGAAATTCATGGCCACAGTCAGTGATACAGGTGTGCCGCCGCTTACAGCAACAGCGGACATTGTTGTTGACATCATCAACCTGAATGACAACGAGCCGCACTTTACCCACTCTGAGTACTACTTCAATATAACAGAGAATTCACCACGCGGCACCGTTGCTGGTAAAGTGGAGGCCCACGATATAGATGTGGGCGCTTTTGGCGAGCTGACCTACACGCTTATTGGCGAGAACAACAAATACTTTAGCATCGATGCCTACACGGGCAACGTGATGGTGGCCAATGCATCCATTTTGGATAGGGAGCAGCTAAAGGAACTGACTCTCTCCGTCGTGGCACAGGATAAGGCACCAGCAACGGTGCAAAAGTCGGCAACGGCAACGGTGAGTGAAAATAAAAGTATATATAGAAATAGATAGAATAAAAGATAGATTTATATATATATAGATATAGATATAGATATAGATATAGATATAGATATAGATATAGATATAGATATAGATATAGATATAGATATAGATATAGATATAGACTATAGATATAGATATAGATATAGATAATAGATATAGATAGATATAGATATAGATATAGATATAGATATAGATATAGATATAGAATATAGATTATAGATATAGATATAGATATAGATATAGATATAGATATAGATATAGATATAGATATAGATATAGATATAGATATAGATATAGATATAGATATAGATAGTATAGATATAGATATAGATATAGATATAGATATAGATATAGATATAGATTAGATATAGATATAGATATAGATATAGATATAGATATAGATATAGATATAGATATAGATAGTATGATATAGATATAGATATAGATATAGATATAGATATAGATTAGATATAGATATAGATATAGATCTAGATATAGATATAGATAAGAATAGATATAGATATAGATATAGATATAGATATAGATATAGATATAGATATAGATATAGATATAGATATAGACTATAGATATATATATATATATATATATATATATATATATATATATAGATATAGATATAGATATAGATATAGATATAGATATAGATATAGATATAGATATAGATATAGATATAGATATAGATATAGATATAGATATAGATATAGATATAGATATAGATATAGATATAGATATAGATATAGATATAGATATAGATATAGATATAGATATAGATATAGATATAGATATAGATATAGATATAGATATAGATATAGATATAGATATAGATATAGATATAGATATAGATATAGATATAGATTTTTATTTATTTATTTATTTATTAATGGTCGACAAAACGAGTGTCTTCCTCATTATTCAACAGGTTGTACAATATAAGTATATTCTAAAAGCCTAGTTAAAGGATACAATTTTCTAAATAGCATCACCGACCGATGGAGGTGTTTTATTTGCCAGTCCGGCCAGCTGTGCCCCTTTTCACAGCTAATTTTGTCAGTGACGCTATTAGAGCCTACATCTAAGCAGAAGGTTGTAAGTAGGAAAAAAGTGATCTCAAGTGAAATTAAAAATAATCTTAATTTGCTAAATTAATAAAGAAAATACAATAAGTAGGAAAAAAGAAAGTAAGAAAATTGTTAATAAAGTAAAGCAATGTAAGTTAGATAAAGAGTGTTAAGTGGATAGGACAAAGAGAAAAGTATTGGGAAATCACCGACACGGTGGGGGAAAATTATTCAGCCTGTCCGGCTAGCTATGCCCCTGCTCATAGCTGGGAATGGTCAGCGACTTCCCGAAGGTATCCTGAAAGCAACGATTTTATTAGGGGTAGAGACAGTTCGGTAGAGAAAACGTGATGCAAACTATTATAATTTTTACATAGCACGCGAAAAGAATTGTGCATAGCGTAATCAGTTGTGCACGTAGATAGTAATAAGGGGCGATAATTTCTGGTTGGTCTAGCCGGAACAGAGAATTGAAGACGCCCTAGCAGAAAAGGAGAATCAATGTCGCCAATAATCAACTTATGTAGAAGGACAACACCGAGAATTGTCCTACGGTTGATTAACGACGGAAGGTTGAGAAGAAGCAGTCTGCTGGAGTAGGACGGCAACCGAAGATTAGGGTCCCAATTTAAACCTCGTAAGGCAAAAAGCAGAAATTGCTTCTGAACAGATTCAATACGATCCTGGCTGTTGATATACTGTGGAGACCAGATGCAAGAGCAGTATTCAAGGATAGGGCGAACAAGAGAGATGTACAGAAGTTTTGTTATAAAAGGATCGTTAAACTCTTTAGACCATCGTTTAATGAATCCAAGTACACCTTTTGCCTCATTAACAATGGTATCTATATGAAGATTGAAACAGAGTTTAGAATCAAAAATAACGCCTAGATCCTTAACTGTTAGTATACGTTGCAAAGGGATATTGTCGATTGTATAACTAACAAGATAAGGTGTAGTACGATTAAAAGTCATAAACATACACTTTGAACAATTTAGATGCAATTGATTGGCCGAACACCAAAGTTGCATAGCGTTCAAATCGTCTTGTAGACGAGAATGATGTAGGGGGTTAGTGTATGATAGAAAAAGTTTGACATCGTCCGCATACATGAGTACACGGGCATGTGATATAACAGAAGGAAGATCATTTATAAAAAGTGTAAAGAGTAAAGGTCCAAGATGACTACCTTGAGGAACACCAGAAGTAACGTGAACCCTTTTAGAGGTAGTCAACCTCAGTATTACTCTTTGGGTCCTACCTTTTAAATAAGAATTAATCCAAAGTAAAAGGGACAGAGGGAAACCTATTCGGTCAAGTTTAAAAAGTAAAATGTCATGGTGCACAGAGTCAAACGCCTTGCTGAAGTCAGTGTAAATGACATCAGTTTGCATTTTCGAAAGGAAAGCATCATTTACCAAGGAAGTAAACTCAAGCAGATTGGTCGTAGTTGACCGATTCTTTACGAATCCATGTTGAACAGGGGAAACAACTGATTTGCAGAAATGCTGCAAATTCGAAGTGATTATTTTTTCAAATAATTTAGGAATAGCAGACAGTTTTGCAATGCCCCTGTAATTTTGTATATCAGACTTCCCACCTTTCTTGTGAAGAGGAATGATATAAGATTCTTTCCAAAGAGATGGAAAGACAGAAGTTTCAAGGGATAGATTAAAAAGCTTTAGCAATGGATAGAAAAGGGAAGAACTGCACTCCTTGAGTAGACAACTAGGAATATTGTCCGGCCCAGGAGAGTAAGAAGATTTTAGAGAGTTTATAGCTAATAGGAGAGAGGAGTGTGAAATAATGGGGGGAGGTATAGAACTAGCGGAGGAAATAGTATAAGGGTAAGAATTAGTATTAGGACAGACTGAAGAGTAAGTTGATTGGAAAAAATTAGCAAAGAGGTTAGCAGAATCAGTGTCATTGCTAGCTTTATCCATCCCAAGAAAAAAAGAAGATGGCAAAGTTGAAGACTTACGCTTCAAGTTTACAAAATTATAAAACTGTCTCGGATTTCGGGCGAATTGCCTTTTACAACGAATTAGATAATTCTCATAGCATTGAGAATTAAGAAGAAAAAAGTTCGACTTGGCTATGGAATATTTAGCCAAGTCTGTACACGAACCAGACTTTTTAAACTTTTTAAAATATTTGGATTTTACATTTTTTAGATGTGATAATCTGGGAGTAAACCAGGGTGGTTTTGAAAAAGTAGTCGAAGGAATTGACTTAGGAATACACACATCTAAGAGGGAGTTTAGGGTGATATAAAAAGAATTAATGGCTGTATTCATATCAACTGAGTCATATAAGAAAGACCAATCGGTTGAATAAATAAGCTGATTCAGCAAGGAATAATTTCCTTTGCGAAAGCAATAGCGGGGCTTATTGGCTGATGAGCACGAAATGGAAGGATTACAATTTAGCATTGCAATCTCTAAAGTTGGATGATAGACATCCTCAGGAAGAGATAAAGGAGGTGACCTAGACACATTAGAAATAAGGTAGTCGTTAACAAATACAAGGTCAAGTGTTCTATTCATATGATTAGAAATTGAATTGATTTGAAACAACGAAAGATCAAGCATGCAGTCTAAAAAATCGTGCTGTGCTGAGGGCACTAGATAATTTTCAGCAGTGAATAATGAAGATATAGATATAGATATAGATATAGATATAGATATAGATATAGATATAGATATAGATATAGATATAGATATAGATATAGATATAGATATAGATATAGATATAGATATAGATATAGATATAGATATAGATATAGATATAGATATAGATATAGATATAGATATAGATATAGATATAGATATAGATATAGATATAGATATAGATATAGATATAGATATAGATATAGATATAGATATAGATATAGATATAGATATATATTTAGATATAAGTATGGATATATAAACAGCATCTCATATTGCCTCTTCTTTTTCCAGATACACATAAACATCTTGGATGTCAATGACAATGCACCAGTTTTCACGCGCACCGTATACAATTCGACGGTGTCGGAAAATGCAGCGTATCAGCCACCGGCTGCACTGCTGCAGGTGCAGGCTATAGATCTGGATGAGGGTCTATACGGAGATGTGCGCTACATTATAACGGCGGGCAATGAGCTGGCACTGTTCAAACTGGACGCACAATCGGGCATCATTTATCCGGCCCAAAGCTTGGCCGGCAAACATGGTGTCTACGAGTTGCTGATCTCTGCCCGTGATACCCAGGGATCGGGCACCATGGAGAGCACCGCAAGAGCAATCATTACGGTGTTGCGCGTAAATCGGCATCGTCCAGAGTTTGTTATTCCTGCTCTGTCGAATGCTACAATTGAAATACCTGGTGACATTGTGCAACCGGACTATTTGCTGTTGACAGTCAAGGCGTTGGACAATGATACCGATGGTAGTGGCAAGATCAGTTACCATCTACAGGTGAACAATCAAAATGTGCAGCAGACGACGGAGTTCAAGATCGATGAGGCCAGCGGAGAGCTGCGTGCCAGGCAGCAGCTCAACCGCAAGAATCGCGCTACGTAAGTTGAACAATAAGAACAAGATAGTTCCCAAGTCGGAGTACCTCTATTTGCTTCCTTCCATTTGTTTTGCAGCTATGATATTATATTGGTTGCACGTGATGCCGGTAATCCGCCATTTGAATCGCTGCGTCTGCTGACCGTCAGCATTGTTGATGCAAATGAGAATCGCCCCGAGTTCCCGGACGCCTCCAATCCCTACAAAGTCTCGATTAATGAAAACAGCGGTCGTGATGTTAAGATTGGACACATTCAAGCAGCCTCACGCAGCAAACACAATCGTGATATATTCTACTATATGTTGCTCGGCAATGAGGATGGCGCATTCTATGTAGACAAACTGACTGGGGATATTTACACGAACAAAAGCTTGGATCGTGAGCAGACTGATGCATATACTCTGTACATCTTGGCCAGCATCAAAGCAGATTTGCATATATCCGAAGAGGAGCGCGCCTCGTTTTCCATCAAGACACTGAATCGGGACAATACTGTGGCCAAGGTCGGCATTACCGTTCTGGATGTGAATGATAATGCGCCGGTGTTCGAGAAATCCGTTTACTATGCGGGCGTCAACGCCAATGCCAAGATGAATGCGGCTATCACGCTGGTCAATGCCAGCGATGCGGATCAGGGTAAAAATGCCAAAATCGAGTATATGATTGTTGCCTCCAATCTGTACAAGTTTGGTGCCACCAAATCAACGGGGTCCATTGTGCCCAGTCCCTTTGCTATATCGCAGGATGGCCGCATCACGGCTAATACCATAATGGCGGAGTATAATCAGGATCGTTTTGAGCTGGATATTGTTGCACGTGAACTGGAGCAGCCACAGCGATCGGCCAATACCAAAGTTTATGTATGATGGTTTGACGTATTTAACAATTAAACAATAGAGCTAAGGATATATGCTTTTCAGATTTGGGTATTTGATGGCACACAACTGGTTAGGGTGATTCTATCGCGCCCGCCCGAAGAGGTCTATCAGGAGCAGGAAGAAATTATAGCCGAGTTACGAAATGCTACACAGCATCGCATTATTGTGGATGAGATACGTTTCCACTTGGACTCAATTGGACGCATTCGCATGGATTGGTGTGATCTGTATTTCCATGCCGTAGAACCGCAGACACAACAAATTGCGCCTGTCGATGAAATACTCAAGGATATTGACAGAAACTATGATTATCTCAAGGTAACACCAGCCGAATTGCCCACAACCCTTAATATAATACTGTGCCTGTGTATTTCTTGACAGGATTACTATGCTGGCTTTGCCATTGAGAATGTAGTGCCCGCTTACATAGCCATTGTGCAGGATGAGTTTGATTTGGCTGTTGCTGGTCTGGTTGCTCTGGTCATAGTGCTCTTCGTGGGCGTCATTAGTTTTATTGTGCTCTGCTGTTGTCTAAAGCATTGGAATCTCTCTGTGCCCGTTGAGACGCGTCGCAAGGAGGCTTTGATCAAAAAGCAAATCATAGAGGATTTGAATACGACCGAGAATCCACTGTGGATTGAACAGTATGCATCCTTAGACTCTACCAAATTTCATACATTTAACGAGATTTTATCGTTTCGCAGAAAGCTCAAATTGTATGAGGAACAGGAGCTCACCATGCAGGTCTTTTCGGAGCCCGATCACATATCAAATTCGGATGCGCCCGGGCATTTGGATCACCGCAGCTCGCTGGAGCAGGTGCATCATGGCCAGTCGGTGGACAATACGTATGCCACCATACAACCACGCAACAATCAGAATCGCCTGACAGCCGGCTCAGGCAGCAATGGTGGTGGTGGTTCCATCTCCATGCGCAGCGGTGGTGCGGGCAGTGCCGGCGGCATCGGTGGTGCTGGGCTGCTGCTAACCCGCGTCGATCCACATGTCAACGATTTTGCAGACTATGCAACACTCCGCAACAATCGAGCCCCTTCTGTAAGTAGGCGCACAGCAGACGCATATTTTGCATGCCTAGCAATAAATCTCTTACGCTTATTGCAGATGTACGAGTTCACAGGCTCCACATTCCAGGCACCAATACGAGATGGCGACGATGCCGTAGCCGAGCTTATTTAAGCAGTCAAAACTGCAGCTAACTGCTAACTTGTAAATTATATAGTAGCTTACTATATAGAGAACACCTTGATATGGCTTAGTTCAACTGATCTGATCTTTTGCATTTCTTGAGTTTGCCGTTGCGTAAATAGAAAATATTTATACAAGTGCATATATATGTAGACACAAGCATATATATAGAGCATATATACATAGCGTAGTAGTATTATATGCCAACGAATATATAAAACTCACATAATCGCGAGAAAACATAATAAAACGTAACAGTATGAATGTATTAAATTGTGCAAATAGCTACAAAGCAAAACCCCATAGTGGAATTTCTCCCGCATAAATAATGACAATAATATATATGAAGAAAACACATATATATAAATCTATACATACATATAAATCTATATAATGAATATATTCATAATGTCCAACTTAATGTGTAAGCGTTACACATATATGACTAGATATGGTTGCAATTACTGGTTTACTTTACTCGAATAACGCCGCGATATTAGTTTAAACGCCCACTCATTTTGTATTACTAAGTTATACCACTTAGAAAAGGACTAAATTATTTGCTCTTCCAATTCGTATTACGTTAGTTTTCGGTCTTTAACTGTTAGCCCTAAGTTTATAGTTTAATTAGCCGCGCTTGCTCATACACATTATTAGTAAGTTTAGTTAAATATAATATATAGAATACATATGTGCAAACAACTCTTGTGCAGTTGCCCACTGCTCTATTGCATCCATTAGAACAGAGTCATAGCTCATTTCTTTGCATTTACAGTATACATACGATATAATAAATGGTCAAATAAACAAGTTATATATCTTTTGATTGTGAAAGTGATGCCTGACTACAATACTTTACCTTATTGATGTCCTCACTGCTACCTGTTGATATTTATTTGTCTGGTAAACAAGCTTTCCTCGTTGCTCGGCTGTCATAGTTGCTAGGAGTACAACAAACACATACCTCTTCGGGCTTTTCCTCAATAAAGGCATTTCAGCTTTTTAAATCAACAAAAATTGTTGAACACGTCGGAATAACAACACATAAAAATAGTTTCTACAGATTGGATTATAGTTTTTTAGAGTTGAAATTAACGGAATAGAGCCAAAATCAACAAGATGGATGACATGGAGATTGCTAGTGTGGGCCAATTTCAAACCCTGGTCCGCTACAACAACCCGGTGCTCGTTGTCAAGCATCCGGACAAAAAGGGCGCGCCGCTAACGGAACTGGAAATGAAACGTCCCCAAACGGCTGGTGCCCTATTAGATACCAAGAAAGAGACTGAAGAGATACTGAACTCTATATTGCCACCACGTTGCTGGGAAGAGGATGGTCAATTGTGGCAGCAATCTGTGTCTAGCACACCAGCCACCCGCCAAGATGTTATCAATTTGCAGGAGATGCTGGACACTCGCCTGCAGCAGACGCAGGCTCGCGAGACGGGTATTTGTCCCGTTCGTCGTGAGCTCTACTCACAGTGCTTTGGTGAGCTGTAGCTACCCAATTATTCAAATACACTAATCAATGCATTTAAAAACCAGATGAAATTATACGTCAGGTGACAATTAACTGCTCGGAGCGCGGTTTGCTACTGCTGCGCATTCGTGACGAGATCGCAATGTCCATGGAGGCCTACGAGACCCTTTACTGCAGTTCTGTGGCATTTGGCATGCGTAAAGCTCTGCAGGCGCACGAGGAGAAGGAAATGCTCCGGGATCGCGTCAAGACTTTGGAGTCGGATAAGGAGGCACTCGAGGAAATCATTTCCGACATGAAAATGAAACAGGAGCAGGCCGAACGTCGCAATGCTGAGCTGCGCGCCTCCGAGGAGAAGAAGTTTACCGAGGAGATAACTTTCCTGAAGAAAACCAATGCACAGCTCAAGGCCCAGCTTGAGGGCATTACGGCACCGAAGAAATAGATGATGCTCATTGTGTGTGTGTCGTTGTTTGTATTTATCGATTTTATTGAATTGTTACCAATTATTGGAATTAAATTTACAGAGCAGCATCTACGATTCTTCAACCCTAGTTGTTTCATCAGTTTCCTTCTCTGCAGGGGTTTCAGCATCTGGGGCCTGCTGTTCTTGCTGCCGCTCCATTTCTTGCTCATCCACGTTGATCTCATTAAGTATGGGCGTAGGCTTAAAAGCTTCAGGAGTCTTTTTTGTTTTTTCTTTCGCTGCCTTCTTCTGTGGTGGCTCATCGTCAAGCTCGGTTGCATTCGCAGCTGCCTCTTCGGCAAATTCATCCGTATCTTCATTTGGCAACTGTCTGCGCATAGCTTGCAACTCTTCCTCTGTAGGCAACTTATCCTTAAGCTGGTCTATTTTAGTCATGTAGAGCTCATAGACAAACTGCGCCATCTCGGACATGTTTTCCACTGTTTTACTAATATTATCTGCAACCGGCTCGCTGGTGAGCCGTTCGGTCGGATATGCATCTGATGGCAACAGGCGTAGCTTCAATGGTCGCTGCATGAGCTGCAAGAAAAAAGTACTGTTTATTTCGAAGTTGATCCTCTTTTGCTGGTCTTACTTACCAACTTGAACGTCTGCTGCAATTCCAAGCAGTTCTTAAACAACGAGACGCGTCCAAAGATGTACAACCCGAGACGAGCACGGCTCATAGCCACGACCAAACGTCGCACATCGCGCAGATGACCAACAGCCTTTGTGCGTACCAAGGAAATTAGAATGTAATCATTCTGCTGGCCCTGGTACTTGTCCACGGTGGTGATTTTATGCGGCCAGCCAATGAGCGGATTATTGCCGCACCGGGCATTAATAACATCGCGTATAAGATGCTTTTGGCCATTGTAGGTGGTCAGTATGGATACCTTAGCAGCGGGATAGCCCATCAGGCGCATGTACATGTACAGAGCAACAATATACTCCGCCTCGGCAAGATTCTTATTGAGAAAACTTATGTAAGCCAGATACGGAATGTAAAATATGAGATCTACTTACCTGATAAAAGTAAGGATTGGGTTCGCTTTCACCCACGCCCTTGAAATCATCCACATTGATCAGCTGATAGTCATAAACTAAACCTGAATTTGCCTTCTTATACTCCTCCCGCTCAAAGATGTGCTGCAGATCTGCCAATTTTTTATATCGCCACTTATACAGTGAACATATACTGGAACGAGCACGCCCCTGCCCATCCAAATCAACGGTTGGCACGCCTAGACGCACCAGACGCGTGAACAAACTTTGCTCCATATTTGAGTATTTCTGAAAGGCCATGTTTTTGATGACAGGCGGTAGCTGATGATGATCCCCAATCATGATCCAGCGCTTTAAGCGATTCAAGCCGTCTAGTGGGTTCTGCAGCAGCAGCGGTATAAATGTCTCAATCTCCAAGATTTGTGCCGATTCCTCCATCAATATGTTGTCATAACGAAAGCCCAGATTCACAAGTTCTTTTCGTTTAAGCGCAGCGTGTGTGCAGGTCATGGCAATGATCTTGGCCTCCTTGACCAACAAATACTTGGAGCGATCTAGGCCTGTACGCAACAGCTCAAATGCGCGGAACTCCTCAAGCTCATTAAATATTTCGGAAATATAGCGAAAGTTCGACTGTGCTATGCTCATGAGTTCATCAAAGCTGTTTGCTTTAAAGAGCGGTTGTGGTGCATCGGAAAAGAATTTGGAAAATGGAAACTCAGTCTCGAACACCGCACACAGCTTGTTCATATCCGTTTCCGAGTTGTGTGCGTCCATCTGGCTTTGGAATTTTTCCCAACGCGCCATCACATTGTATAGATAGAAGTAGCCCGCCGTCTCGCAGGTGTAAGCGTTGTCCCCGCTCACACCTAATGCCTCTTGCAGTCGCTGCACTTGACTGAGCAAATCCATGCGCTTTGCCAGCACATAATTGACGCGGCCATAGCGACTGTAGTCCTTCTCAGTTTCAAGCGCCTCCTCACCATGACCCAGACGCAACAGATGCCGCTCATCAATATCCAGCGCCATAATCTTCTCGAACAGCTGATTCAGAGCCTGATTGGAATGTGTTACAATTAACGTACGCTGATTGGGATGATTATGGTAGATATTCGAGATAATTTGCACGGCGACATCAGTTTTGCCCGTGCCGGGTGGACCCACGACCAAAGTAAGACCCGGCTGCATACCAGCACGTATTGCCTCAATCTGTGTGGGTGTAAAGCGTATGCAATTCCTAAGGACGGCAACACGAGAATGAGAATTTGTGTTATTTTTGTGATTGCTCTTGTTACTCACTGTTTGGGCTTGTCGCTGAGATAGGGACCTCTCGCCTCGTATTTATAGGGCTGCACTACAATTGATTTAGTGGGGTCAGACTGATCCGTTTGCATCTCCTCTGTGTCACAGTCACGCTGTTCGGCCACATCCTCAAAGATAAGGCGGTAAGGCGGGTCTCTGCTTCCTTCCGCCGCTTCGCATTTGAGCTCATAATCGGGAAAGCTGACTTGTAGATGCTCGTAGTCCAGAAAAGTGTCGTTGAACTCGAGACTGCGTTCCTGGTTGGGCATATTGCTGTAGTGTGCTGCCGCCGGATCACCGTAGCCGAGCAATATGTCATGCAGCCAGGGTGGCACTACACACTCCGTGTTCATCAGATGACGAATGGTTTCTAGGACGGCTTTAAAATTATTCTCCTTTGGCTTGCGCCGCATCAGAATGTTGAAGCTCTCGTAGACATCGTCGGCGCCCTGTAGTGATTGCAAAAGGATGAGTGAACGGTTACTTTCAATCAGCATATCCAAACTTACCTCCTGCAAGTCGTCCATGTCCATGCGATATTGATTTGAGTCCAGCCAGACGCGATAGCAGCGCTGCTCACCCGGAAGCTTCGGTCGCGGCTCTGGCCCGTCCTCTATGACACGTCCATTAGCGTCGAGCATGCCCTCCACCTCGCAGCCGCGCACACTGACTAGGCCCACTTGGGGTATAAAGGGCTCCCTTGTATTGTACTTGGTGCCATAGGGCTGCGTTGGTTTGACTGTGATTAGGAAGCATACGTCGTGTTTGCGCAGATTTTCCCATTCCTCCTTGATCTCGCGACGCACTGACAGCGTCACGCCGACATCGGCGCGCACTCGCGAAGGCTTCTTCTCGCCCAGATGCGGCTTTGCCACCTCGACAACAGCAAAACTGGCAATGGGCAGAGCCATGCGTGCCCAGCCACCAAAAACCACATCGCCGTCTTCCGACTGCCAGGGTAGCATGCGACTGACCGCGTCCTCGATATCCTGGCGTATCTCATACGTGGACTCCAGCCGAAACAGATTAAAGTTGCGCAACAGATAATCGTGAAGCGTAAGGAACTGTAAATTGAGTTTGGGCAGGGCCAGACAGGTATCGCCTGTGTAATATTCCGATGGCACCACATTTTCATCCCAAATAATCTGCTCCGTGGGATACAGTGGCATCTCGTTGAGCGCCTCCAGTTGCGAGCAACGCTTCTCATGGCGCGTGATGAGCAACTCACGCAGAAACGGCTCATCCAATCGATGCCATTGAAATGGCTCCACTGCCTCGTCAGGCACAAGATTAAGAAACGAAGCAATCTGTTTTAGTCCTTCAGAATCTAAAGCACCGAAATGCTTCTCTAGCGAATCGCGACTGTCCACTGTCGCCACATTAGACAATGCAAAGACGCGCAGCGTTGAAAACTTGGCGAACACAGCACGCTGCAGCGAGGTGATCTTCTTATAATGCAGCTGGGTCATGTCGTGATCGGTCAGTGAGTTGCCTGTCACATCGTTAATTTCAAAACGGGTGTAAAACTTCAGCATGTCCAATAGCTAAATTAAATAAGCAAGGAAGGCAAGAAAAACAATTTTCGTGTTAGTCGTAATTGCACGGACCAAGTCTCTTACTTAATATTCCAATTAATAGTTTAACCCTTGTATTAAAATCGTTTAAATTGGGAACAGAGTTTCGTACATGAATAGACAGCCTACCAGCTCTTAAGATATGAATTAACATCAGCTAGTTAGCACGAACAGTTAGCTTATATATATTATATTATATTGTAGTAACGAGAAAAAGGAAAACCCTTGTTGACATTTTCTTGGGGTGTTGCGGTTAAGACAGAAGTGAAGCTCGTAAATTCTGAATTTTATGAAAACATCTTGGAAAACAGAATATTTTGCAGCACAAAAAAAAAAACATTTGTTCGCTTGATTCTTTTATATAATGTAGTAATGCGATTTAGATAAGACTTGTTTCATATATAAGCAGCATAGTTAAAGTAGTAAATGCCGACTTGGTCAAGATAAATTTATACAATTTATTTATATCAAGTTTTCTCACGAGATCCTAATTAGCTATTTATGGTCGGATGTTGGTTCAATGTATGCATATAAAGAGCATAGTAAAGTTAATAAATGGTAAGTTTAGTCTAGGTATATGGTAATTTTATCTCTTCCTATGCGTTACACATTTCATGGCAAAATTAGAAAACCCTCTACAAAAGAATAAAAACAACGTACACACAACCCGGACACTTCTCAAGTCAACAATATCACGCAGCCACAAAGTCAAACAGAACCGCTCCTGTGCTGCTTCACACACGAGTCCATTGAATGGAACGTATTCTATACTACCTGTGCTGAGAGCTCTACGAACACGCACACACACACTGAGCACTGAGCAATGTTCTCTTTAGGTCTGTAAAACAGGTAACATGACGGTAGCGAGAACTGGCTAAGCTACGAGGCGGTCTGTGGCAGCCGCTTGAGTATGCTACGTCATCATTTTGGTCAACACGTCGTCCACTGTATTTATTCGCGAAGTCTACACAGGCTTTCTACCTTAACTCGGAATTGGGAGAGTGGGAGAGTGCGAGAGCGCTAACTAAAAGAGCAACAGAAGTAATCAAAAAGCGGTTTCTCCATAGTTAACGGAAGTCCTTAACGGGCTGGTTGACTGGCAATCAGAGTGATGGAAATTTGAAACTTTATTCTAAAAATATCATTAATTTAAATATGAAAGCGGGTCTCCATTGTATTTTTTTTCTCATTTATGAGTGAATCTTAAAATTGAAATTAAGAAATAAAACGGAAATATTTTTTATCATTAAATCTTTATATTCAAAAGAGATTTCATTCAAACACATAAATAAATGCTGTAGCAGTGTGTGTATGTGGTAGGTGTGATATGAAAAGGCCTTCTCTTCGGGACGCATACAAGCATATTGATGTTCCACTGGCCGTCTCCTGCTCCCAAGTGCTGACAAGTGTGGCGTATTGAAAGACAAGGCACGCGTTTTCAATTGTTGCGAGGGGTTGGTGCAGTTGCATTTTGCTGGTATGCAATACATACGAGCGCAATAGATGAAGTGCTTCAGTGCCTTATCACATCATCACACGGCCAGACAAACAACAAACAACGAACCCCACACACATGCACAAGCAGGCAATATTGGAATTGCCGGTTCTTTGAGTCGCCTGCTTTGCTCCAATTGATAATTTCCGTTGTTTAATTTAAACAAAAAAAAAAAAACATAAAACCATGCTTGATAGTGCATGAGAGAAAGAGAGAGAGCGAGACAGATTCCAAAGCCCTGCTTTAACGCTTTGTCGCGCTTGGTGGTTGGTGCTAGCTGTAGCGAACGGCAGAGGCGATGGACAAGAGAATAAAACTCTACACTCAGCCCAATGCCAACTGCTGCGGCTCTCTGTTTCTGTCTAGTAACTAGAAGTTAAGAGAACGAACCGACGTGTTCCTGCACTCAGAGTCAGCGTCAGCGTCAAAGGTAGAGCAAGAAAGAGAGAGAGAGAGAGACCGAGCCGCATTCGCATTCTCAGTCAGTCTCATTTTCAGTCAGTTGTCGTTCGCAGCGGTTCGTTGTCTTTTGGAATTTGTGCGCTAGCTGCATTTAAATGCAAACAAAAATTGTTTAGCAAATAAGAAATTGTATATCGTGTATATTCGGTGGATAATGTGAAGTGATCGGATACGCTCAGCCCTATCTTAAGTTGTATTTCTATATCGAAACGTTCATGGTGTGGTTGTATATGAATTAAACTCTACAAAAGAAAAAAGTGTCTCTTGTCTGGTTGCTTTAGTTTTTGGTTTGCAAGTCATGATCTTGGCTCGAAACCGGCATCAGCCAATGCTTTGATGACGCATTCGATTACGGGTGCGAGTGCGAGTACGAGTACGTGTATCTGTATTTGTAGGTGAATCTGTATCTGTAGGTGTATCCGCAACTGTATACTGTGTACCCGTAGCAGTGTATTTGTGCGAGATGCTTGTATATACGCTTGGCGCGCAAATTTTGCGATACCTGGCCAAAGGCAGCTGCCTTTTGCTTGCCCTGCTGGCCACACTACGGACTGTTACCGCTCATGTGGCCAACAACAGCTCAATACAGGCAGTTGTGCCGGCTGCCAACGATCCCAATCTGGTGCTGGTGAACAAATGCTGTGAAAAGTTCGAGATACACGTGAACAATACGTGCCAGCAGGTCAACCAAACTGGTAAGTTGTCCTCGCGACTGAACAGATCTGGGAATACACCAAAACATGACCGTTGTCACGGACAACGCCAGTCACAATTAGTTCAACTCGGTCACTGTCGCCTTGGCCATTCAACTTTATTGGATTTTTTTTTTTTGCTCTTGGCATGCAACATATGCCCCACATTAAAGGGCCCCTTTGCAGGCAGTCAATGGAGGACCGAAACTGGCGCTGCTTCCAAAACTCCTCTTTATTGTTTTATAAACAAACATAGCCATCATGATTTGTGATTTGGTGAGTGGATTCCACACAAACAGCCACTTGGCGTTAAGTTTTTAAGGGTAGAATTTCGGAATTTCTTACAGTTCCATATGGCGAGAGCTTTACAATTAATGTGCTCAATATTAATTGGATTGATTAGAAAGTATTGTTAGAATGCAATTGTATCTTTACGGCTCTTGAGCTATATTAATTTTTTTAATTTAACATATAATTTAATTTTGTTAAATTGTGTGGAATTTTCTATTGTTTGTATATAATGGAAATCTAAATCCTATTATTTGATCTAAAAAATGTGTTTATTTACTTATAGTATCAATTACTTTCCCTAGACAACTTTATAGATACTTCAGAATCTGAATATTACAATTTCCAACATGTCAAGAATATGATTACAGCATTTCAAATTAGAAAAATAGTTGAATCATAAATGTGACGCAAATGCCACTGAATATCCATCAGTACCAACAGCTTAATCCACCAACATAATCAACATAATGAATATTAAAGATGCTAACTCAATTTAAAGAAACCGCAAGCTGTCTGAGTGTCAATTGCTGATGACGTTGCTGTATGGCGAATCTGCATTTGAATCTGGATCTGTGATGCTTCAGAGCGTCGAGCACGTTATGGTCGTGCATTGTAAATATTTATAGACTTGCGAGTGTTTTTATGATTGGCTTTGTTTGCAGCTTGCTATTGTTCGACTGATGCGCCCCTCTCTCCCAATTGAAGTGATCTGCCGTATTCTTACGTATATGCTTTTTATAGACTATTTTCAGCCCATGTTTACCAGCTACAGCGGCGATCAAAACAGACCAGTGGCGAATTTTAAGTTCGTAATTGGTGTGCCCAACTGTGGCACCAAACAGATGTGGCCTGTTTTGGACTATGCAGGCGTAAGTATAACTTAATGGATTAACAAATGGCATTGTGATTGACTAGGCCCTTCACTTATAGAGCTACGACAAGCTGGTTCTGTTGGACGATGGCAAATTGAGGCACTATACCAACACCGAGGATGAGGCCGATGAGCAGAGCGGCGTGAAAGCTGACTACGATGAGGATTTGGCAGAGGCGCAGAAACCGCGCTTTTATGACTATGAGCAAGGTCAATACTGCCTGGACAGGGTGAGTTTAATGAATATGTGCTCTCTAGATATATTTTCATGATTATATTTCTACTTGCAGGCAATTTCCCCAGAGCACAAGCATAGCCTGTTTGCGCACATTTGCTTGGCCCGAAAGGAAAACAATTGGAATGATTCGAACTTTTTGTTGCGCAAAATACTTAATCCCATATTCCATGGCATATCTCTGGTACTATTACTTATCATAGCCATCGTCTATTTTATACTACCTACGCTAAGGTGAGAACTGCAGCAGTTAGCATTTAAACTGATCGTATAGTCATAGTTATTCATTTCGATAATTGTTTCTTAGCAGAGATCTTGTCGGAAATATAGTTACGACAATTGCAATGTGCTTGATGGTCAGCCAGGCAGCAGATCTGGTCTGCATATTCACGGATTTTACCAATCACGTGAGCTTTATTGTGGCGGACATCATTTTGTGCTTCAGCCTGTTGGCCGCATTCTTTTGGTTGAATAGCTTCGGCTATTACATATGGAAAACGTTTCGATCTAGGAATGTGTTTCTGCGCGTCACCGATGGACGTAAATATTGTTACTACTCGTTCTATGCATGGGGCTGCACAGCTACAATGGCTGTGCTGGCGGTATTCGCGCACTTTTTCCTCGACGCCGACTCGTACAAGAAGGAGAATATGCGTGGCGAGCAGCAAACGATTGGCTGGCTGGGCATATGCATATTCTTTGCACCGATTGCGTGCACCATCATAGTAAACATATTCTTCTATGTGACCACACGGAAGCTGATCAACCGTCGCACCGTCTACGGACGCATTGCTCACAAGCTGAAAGCCAAGTTAGTGGATTGTAGTCTAGATTTATGTGTTCTACATATTAATGTTGAATACTAATATGCCTTTACAGCTTCATCATGTTCTCGCTGATGTTGCTGGTGATGTCATTTGCCTGGCTGTTTCTTACCATGTCTTGGTTGGCTCTAGACGGCCTACTCTATGCCCACATAATAGTGAATGCATTCCAGGCTCCACTGCTGTTGTACATATGCGTGCTACGGCAGCGCCATGTGACTTATCTACTAAGGAAGTCCTGCTGCTACAATGAGCCACCATCGACAAATGATTGGGGCGACGAGATGCACCACATGAATGGTAATGATTATTGAGGCAGCCCACCCAAGCTCTAAGGAAGGTAACCCGAAGTTATATCAGAGCACGGGCCTTAGTCTGTCAACTAATTTTAAGATCTACTCGTAACTAGGCTAAGTGTTTTTGTAGATTAACAATGTTAAACATTGAGATTTGTACTTAAAACTAATTTATAGAAGAACAAATTAAAGAAAGTCTGACACATACCTGCCCAAACAGTTTGCCCTCTTCGCGCTGCACCAGCGGACACATAAGTGCACGCACAATGAGATGGCAATCATCCAGCACAGTATTAAAGAACCGACGCGTGGGCAGCAGTGCCTCCAAATCGATTATAAACTCTAGAAAACGTTCGCAATAGTGCACCACATTGCTATTGAGTTCACCTTCAGATGGAATACGTTCCAGTATGTGCAAGAAATCAATGATAAGATTCTGCATAAAATGACGTTCCCACGTGACATCAGGATTGGCAGCATCTTTTTCCTTTTTCTGCAGGCGTTTCCAGTATTTGCGCCATTCTGGTACCTCACGCAGTTCCTGCTCACGCCGACCTATATAAAAAAAAGACAGCTCATTCGACGGTTCATCTACTGAATAGATTAATTGTTACACTTACGCGGCTGCAGGCAGTGCCACATGGAGAGAGAGACCAGACGCTTTGCCTGATCGCGACACAGCTCAACTTCCATGCTGTTGAAGCAGTGATTTAGAAATATTAGCAGTGCCGTCCGCTCTCGCAGTGTGCTCCTATTTTGCTTTGTTGCTTGATCTGGCAAACAGGATTCCAGCACGTGGTGAAAAAATGCTGGATACTGCTCTGGCAACTGCTCGAACACATTCCACACCTCAACACGCTCCCGAAATTTCTCATTCGACATAATCACTATGGACATCAGATGAGCATGTGTGGCCGTCTCGCGTTTGTAATTGGGCCACAAATACTGTTCTAGGTACTGGCTGAATTCCAGCATGTTGATGCGGCGTGCGCTACCCTTTCCGCTTGTTATTTCGTCGGTGTAAATGCTTTCTATGATGTCAGCATTATATGGCAAATGCTCGGACTTAGATTCCGGTAACCAGTACTTTGATGCTAACTGGAATAAAATGGTAGAAGCATTGAGTTCGCAAACGTTTTGATTAGTGGAGCACCCACCTGCCAAATAACATCGGAGCTGAACTGATCCAAAGTAAGAGCACCCGCCTTCTCCTTTGGCTTCTTGGCCGCTTCTGTAGGCACCTGCACTTTTGTATGGCTGCGGCGTTTCATTTTGATACGTAGAAATAAAGGAAAACAAAAATTAACACTCAGCTAAATTACACCAAAACAAACGCCGGCTGCATTCACGAACAGTGTGACCGTATGCAGAAATTGTGGAAATTGCACATATTTTAGCCACGCTTAAATAGTGTGTGCAGCCCTGTGTAATAAATAATCTTCAAAAGTACCTTGTCTCGACAAGGTGCTTCTGCGAACAGCCTAAATTATATAGACGAAGTTGTGCTATTCAAATAAAGTAGTCATATGGCTCTAATTTAAACTTTAAATAGCAGTATTTCCTTCGATCACACTCTTAATCGATTACAAACTCAAGGTGGCAACGCTCTGCTAGTCGCATATTATTTTTTGATACAAACATGGTTTGAGAGTCACCCATAGCACCGACAACATGTCTCAGCCGATGCCGCCAGAAAACATAAATGTAAGTATTTATGCTTTCTAAGATGATTCAATACTGAAAATAATGAATGGTTTTCCAGAGTCACATACTGACAGTACTCAGCTTGCCTCTGCTGGACAAGCTGCCGCAACTCGAGCTATTGTTTGATCGTTGCACTGTGCGACAAATAGAGGAAATCTACCCGCTCATAGTGCACTCAATATTCGGCATTAATGGCAATTCGCTCGGATGGGGACTTCGGATCACGACCATGGAGAATGCTTCGCATTATTTTAACAGACTGCAGCACTTCCTTGGTGTCAACGGCATTTGGATGCATGTCTGCCACCGGCTTTTAAACGAGACAACTAAATTTGATATTGATATTAATTTATTACCGGTAAGTGACTGATATCGTAGGGGTTTACTGGCTGGATAGCTAAGATAATTTTTTTTTTGCTTTCAATAGCGTAAATTCATAAGCATGCTGCAAGCAGGGCCCATGTTTTATTCGGATCTGATAAACATTGATCCGCTAAAGCATCAAGTGAGCACGCTGTCCCTCAACGCGTTCGACTTTTATATGTTTCATTTTGTGCTGTACGCGCTACAACCACTGCACACTATCAATCCCATCGCCATGCAGATACACAACGAGCGCGCCAAGACTATTTATCAATTCTTGGCGGCTGAGTACCTCGACAACTTTTTGCCACAGTATCCGGACGCACGTATCGAGCCGTCCAATTTTTCCACTAGTGTCAAGGCACCACAACAGCTACCAGCGCAGTCATTACAGCCACAGCGTCAGTTACGTTACCTTAAACTGCCAAGCTCCTATCGGAATGGAAACGGCGAGACCGGCAGTGCTGCCGGCGGTGGCAACACGTCGCCACAGTCAGCGGACGGCAATGGTGCTGCTAGTCGCGCCTATGCCTGGCGTTCAGAATCCGTGTTGCATTTCTTTGTAGATATATGGCTGCGATACGATATAGAATCCGAGCATCATCTGCCCAGCAGCGATTTCGTGCGAGGAGTACGCACGCTCGTCAAGCAAATCCATTTCTTTGCGAATGCTGCACGTATGGATCACAGTCCGCTCTGTGCGCTGCGCAAGCTGTCGCTTACCATGGTCAAGGCGCGTATCTACGCTTTCCTCTGCAGTCTGATTGATCGCTGGCCACTAGACAGTTCTCTGAGTGTTGTTTTGGAACTTTGGCTAAGCTATATACAACCCTGGCGCTACACTTTAGGCTCCAACAACAGAACGTAAGTCGCAGCCCATTTCTTAGTTTATTGTCATTATATATTTATTATTTTTGGCGCAGCTTGGGCATATATTATGAGCCTCCAATTACAAACCAATTCGACGGCTTCATTATTGACAACCTTATTGTATATACGCACATCTTCATGCAATTGCTGCCGCGGTTTGAGCGCCTGGACTACTCAGTTTATCGCAATGCATTCATGCTGCACCGTCTGGCCAAGACGTTTTCGCAGCAGGATTTGGTTGAACGTCTGCAGCGTTTTGAACGGTTGCACTCTGGTAATGCCTATGGCTTTGATTCACCTCAGCGCCAGGTCAATATGTTAAAGTACGTTTGGCTAAGGAATAAGTTTTCGTTGGTTTCAATATATGATTGAATTTTTTCAGCAAATCACACAACAGCTCTTATAATGCACAATGGAACCCATTGGTTAGCTCGAATATACCTAAGCTATTCAGTGAGCAGATGCACGCGCAAATTCAAAGTTTTTTGTATGTCATTAGCATGGCTCGCAATTCAGTGCTGACCAATAATATAAGTGCGCTGCGGAAGGAGATTTTGGAAAGACAGCGTTCGGAGGGCTATCTGAAAAACATATTTAAAAAGTTCATAGGCGAGGAAACGCAGGACGAATTAACGCTCCGCGATCTTAATCGTATACCAGAGGTGCTGCGTCATTGTATAGATGCATTCTGTCGAACTTTCAATGTAAGCCTCTTCAGTTGAACTGATGCGTTTGAATACCAATTGGTTGCTTTTTCAACAGGTGGATCCAGGCACATTGTCTATGCATGAAACACTACCTGTAGAGCCAAGTCCACCGGCTTCACCTTCGTTGCAGAATTTTAGCTTTTTCGACTCAAATAATTGTTTGGACACCTCAAAGCTGACCCCGCATCAAATGTCACTGAACGCCTCCAATATGCAGCCCACAGTCGATCCTGCACTGCTGCCCATCAAGTCAAATGAGATAAGGCCGCTGGTTAGACTGTTACACCTCATTTCAGAGGCCATCAACGATAGAGTAAGTTTCATATCCAATTAAGTTGCTGTCGCATTTGGTACTAATTTTTGAAAACTTCCATTCAGTATGGCAGGCGAATAGAAGCTTTTTACGAAAGGGAGGACTTTTACGGAAAGCTCTCACGCCAAGTGCTGTACGCGCCCATGACTGAAAAATGGTTCGAAAAGAGTGATGGTAACGTGGACATTTATGAGAAGCAACTACCCCCTCGTATCAGTCTGCGTCCGTTGGGATCTATACCCTCACTTTGTATGATGGCATTTGCATTGTGCTTCGGACATTTGTGGTTCGGTGTGGCAAGTGTTGGACTGTTGCTTTTGTGTGTTGTGTTTTTTATTTACTGCATGCTGTTGGCATTGTTATCATAACAGATTCATGTTGAAGTTATAAAAATTATATTTGTATAAAAATAAAAAGTACAATTTCACTTGATAGCTGTTTTTATATATCATCTACCTATTTTATCTTCACCTTCATTAACTAATCAACACTTCACAGACTGCTCATAAAGTGGGATATTCCACAAATGTTTAATTTTCGTAATAAGGCAGAACTTATCACCTTTAGCAAACAAACAAATCTTGTTTTGTCTCCTTCCGCGTGCTACACAGCTGTGCAATTTTAGAAGGCAAACGAAAAGCTGCTACGAATAAACGGAACTTCAATTAAATTAGGGAATTGACAATAAAGGCACGTAAATTGAGTGGCCTCATTTTCAGTATAGCAAAATGTATTCAAATATAACAACAAACAATTAATTGATGCACTGTGGCCTTGGGTCTATGTACATTGTGGACGCTCATAAAAATCTGAAAAATTATATTGCATGCAACGAATTCCAAGCTCCACTCTTTGTTACCATCCGTATTGTACTGACTGTATACCTTTGCATGTAAATATCCGGGAACATGAAAATATGTGAACCGGTTCCGAACAATTTCAGTTTTTCCAGCGATTGTCCAAAATACAGCAATGAAAAACTAATTTTTTATTGCAAGCATGCAATTTAAATATAGTGTAACAAGTTATAAATATAAAATTATCCCATTTCGATAAACAATTGCGAAATATATAAATTTTTTCATTTAAAATTGAAAAAATGGCACGATCCCCGTCTCGCTTCAAAACGAAAGAGAACCAATCCTCAAACCATTAAATATTTAATCGGCAGCCAAGATATAATACGTATATACGAAAATATATGGTATATACATATGTATGTGTATAAACAACAACTGATCTCTCGGGCG